GTTGTGCGGCTTGAACTCAGAGCCTTTTTATAAAGTAAAGATTTATTTGCTTTGATAAATACTAAGGTTTTTAACAATAAGTATAGCTGATAACTTATTATGATTTAATATAAATAACTTGTTTTTTTCCTAACCTAAGCTGAAGTTTGCTACATTCTTTTTGCTCTTGTTACTTTTGAGATAGGATCTCACTTTTTATTTCGGCTGGCCTGGACTTGTATCATCCTTTTTTTTCTTTTTTTTGCTCAGGTTGGCTTGGAACCTCAATCCTCCAATATCTCTCTCTCTCAAGTAGCTGGGATTACAGTGTTTCAGGCGTACCCTGGGCTGGTGTACTGATAGATAAGCAGTTTTAATTGTAAACCATTGGAGGTGTTTCCCAATTCATGATCATCATTATGTTTGAACTATATTATTATAATATACATTAGGTTAATATGTGAGTTTAATCTTGACAATAGAGTTATTTCTAGAAAACTGTAGTTTGAGTTTAGAATTTTATGCGATTATGATTTATGGACTACATGTATAAACAGTAAATACTCTGAGATCATTTGAATTTTAAATTTTGTCCTTATCATAGTAACACTTGTAATTCCAGATGACTTTTTCAAGTGGAACTATTTTTTTAAGGTTTCAGGTACGTTCACCAACTTTTTTTCAAAAATGTCGGGACCAGCATTGGTATATTACTCAGTTGGAAGCTGCACAGGCAAGTTACATCCAACAAATAAACAACCTTAAGGAGGTAAGAAAAGAGGTTTATTTCATTTATTTATTTATTTTTTTCGTGTCCGGTCACGGGGCCTGAACTCTGTCCCTCAGCTCCTCAGCTCAAGGCTAGCACTCTACCACTTGAGCCACAGCACCACTTCTGGCTTTTTTTTTCTTTTTGCTTATGTGGTGCTAAGGAATTGAACCCAGGGCCTCATGCATGCAAGGCAAGTGCTCTACCACTGAGCCACCTTGCCAGCTCCAAAAAGAGGTTTATTTCTGGTTTAGTGCTTTCTTTTTGCCTGTTAAATTTGGAATTAGATTTTTTTTCTCCTCTGTGCTGACTTTGAGTCGAGGGGGGGAGAGTGGAGTTTAGAGTGCTGGAAGTGGCTAATGAAGGACAAAGATATGTGTACTTTTGGAGGCTTTCATGTTAAGTTTACTGTTTAACTGCTTGGTCTGGGGATGTAGCTCAATTATACAGTGCTTACTATGCCCTAAGTTTCTTCCTCAGAACCACCAGAAAGAAAAAAAAAGTCAACCAAATACAAAATCTGCCTGTGTTCTCTGTAGAGAACTGGTTATAAAAGAAGGAGGATAAAAATAAATGGGGCAGTTAACTTTTATATTTTTATAAGGGCAGGAGAGGAGGAAATGGATCCACTTAAACTCTATCCTTTGACAGTGCTGGGATTTTAACTAAGGGTCATATGCTCTTTGGTAGTCACTCTACCTCTTGAGCTATATCTAGCCCTTTTTTAAAACTTTACATGTATTTTATGGAGCTAATGAGGACTGCTTAAAATTTTAACTTGTATTGTTCTTCTTTTAAAAGAGACTTACCATTGAGCTGTCTCGATCTCAGAAATCAAGAGATTTGTCACCACCAGATAATCATCTTAGTCCCCAAAATGATGATACTCCGGAGATAAGAGCTAAGAAGTCTGGATCATGTTCTGACATGCTTCTTGAAGATGGTCCTACTACAGCTTCTGTAAGGGAAGCCAAAGAGGATGAAGATGAGGAGAAGATTCAGAATGAAGATTATCATGTAATAATCAGAATGATAATACAAATAATAGAATCATGATTTCTAACATACAATGTA